AGAACTTCATTAACTCTGATGTGGGGCACAACCAGCTGAGAAATTGTTGATCTACCATCAGCTGATTCCCAAACTCGCTTCAATAATCCATTCTCCACAACTAGTGAGTCCCATTGTGCCCACATCGCCTTGAAAGCAGGCCCTCTATCCGAGATATCCTTCCATGTCGGTCTTTCTGTTCCTCTTTCTTTCCAACGTAGAAAATCGGCGATATTCGGATCGTTCTCCTGATATCGTCTCATGTGTGCTGCTGTCCACTTATCATCGGTCACAAGTCTGGTTTTTCTAACATCAGCGGTTCCTTCTCGATGTTCAATGCGCAGACAATGCTTACAGGTTTCCGAACAAGGTCTTCTGGACATGGCATCTGCATTCTGGTGTAGTTTTCCTGGGCGATGCTTAATCTTGAAGTGATACTGGTTCAGCTTTTCCAGCCATCTTGCTATTTGACCTTCAGGATTCTTCATCTCCATCAGCCACCTCAAGGCTGCATGATCCGTCCTAATGAGAAATTCTCTCCCGTATAAGTATTTGTGGAAATGGTCAACAGCCTTAACAATTGCCAGCAGTTCTTTCCTGGTGACACAATAATTCCTTTCTGGTTTGGCCATCACTTTGCTGTAGTATTCTATAACCTTTTCTTGACCATCCTGTACTTGTGATAGCACGGCTCCAATTCCGATGTTACTCGCGTCTGTGTCCAAAATAAACAAGCCTCTCTCTTGTGGGAACCCCAAAATAGGACTCGAACAGAGGCCAGCCTTCAATTTCTTGAAGGATTTCTCACATTCTACAGACCAGTTGAAGTTGACTCGATCTTCTGTCAATCTATGGAGTGGTGCCGCAATATCAGCAAATCCTTCCACAAAACGACGGTAGTAAGTGCACAATCCCAAGAAACTTCTAACTTCATGTTTGTCCTTCGGTCTTGGCCAGTCTCGAATGGCTTGAATCTTTGTCTCGTCAGTTTGTATTCCTTCTGACGTTACCGTGTGGCCCAAGAAATCTACTCGTTTCTGGAATAGTGAACATTTCTTCAGGTTCAGTTTGAGGTTGGCATTCCTGAATCGCTGGAACACTTCCCGTAAGTTCTTCAGGTGTTCCTCGAAATTCTTTCCCATGACCAAAACATCGTCCAGATATACCAGGCAAGTTTTCCAAGTGAGCCCACGCAGTACCAATTCCATCAGCCTTTCGAAGGTTGCTGGGGCATTACATAGTCCAAAAGGCATCACAGTAAACTGGTACAGTCCATTACCAGTCGTAAAAGCAGTCTTCTCCTTATCTTCTTCGTGAATGCCCACTTGCCAGTATCCGCTCTTCAAGTCCAGTGTCGAAAACCATCGGGAGCCAGCCAATGTAGTCAAAGTGTCATCAATCCTTGGTAACGGGTAGCTATCCTTCTTGGTGACGTCATTGAGCTTCCTATAATCCACACAGAATCTTGTGGATCCATCCTTCTTGGACACTAATACAACCGGTGCAGACCAAGGGCTGGATGATTCTTCAATTACCCCATCCTTCATCATTTTGTCAACCAGCTGTTCCACCTCCTGTTGCTTAGCAAATGGCATTCTTCTTGGTGGTTGCCGAATTGGGTGAGCTTTACCAGTATCTATTCTGTGCTTGACCAAGTTCGTCCGCCCTGTTGATGTTGATTCAAAGATATCACTTTCGTCTGCTATGAATTTCTTGGCAGCTTTATATTCTGTTGGTGATAAGTGGTCCAAGGAGGTTTCCAGAACTTTCAATGCACTGTCATCCCGTTCCCTCCATCTCTGCTCGTTAGTCTTATCACATTTTGCTACCCAACTGACTGGTTCACAAGCTCCGATAATATCTCCTTCCCTTACTGTTATGGTGGTAGGTAAAACATTTGCTACCCTCACAGGAATGTCTCGTTCGGTGGTCACTAAAGCTCGGGCAAGTAACAGCTTGCTGGGGGATTCCTCACATGACTGTACTAATCCAACGCAGCGCCCAGGGTCCTCTTCTAATCGCGCATGGATGATCTTCTCAGTGAATCCAGGAATTCTCACAGTCTTCGCTAGTCGTAGCCTCACAGACGTCTCCCTCTCGGCTGGTGTCGTTAGTACAAACTCTTCTCCTCCAAATTTCATGGTCTTCTGATCACTGTCGAATGAAAACCCGTAGTCACTTATCAGATCCATGCCGAGGATAAACTCATCTTCGATATCTGCGACGTATACCATGTTCACTAAATGGAGTCTTCCAAGCGTCAACTCGATATCAGCCATCCCTCGTATAGGTGCATTTTCTCCAGTGACCGTACGAAGAACAAAGTTGGAAGTGGTTGGTTTTATACTTCCAGGCCGGAGAATGTCACTGCGTACCAGGGAAACTGATGCACCGGTGTCTATGGTGCAGGTTACATCCATTTGGTTGATTTTTCCTTTGATGGTCAGGCTATCAGTTGTTCTTCTTATCCTTTTGATGTTAATGACCCTGGGGGCTTCGTTATTACTAGCCAGCATGCGCCCCGATACGCTGGCTAGTTCTAGTTTTCCTGGTATCTATCTGAGGACTCACTAGATGACCTAGTCCTCGCAGGTGAGTACGACCGTGATGGCGTCCTTGCAGGTGAAGAAGATCTTGGTGGTACTCTCACCTTACAGTCCCTTATCAGGTGTCCAGTTCTGCCACAGCGATAGCAGGATCTATTTCGCTGGTTACTAGACCCACTCTTAATTTCTTTGAGTTCCTCAAGCACTTTTCTCAACATTTTCGCCACTGGGTCCACGTCTTCGGAAGGCTCCTCGATGGACACAGCTCTCACTTTTGGCCTAGAGGTGTTGAAGGCCGCTTCTACCTCCAGAGATCTTACTAGGGCTTCACCACTCCTCTTAAAGTGTGTAAGCCTCAGAGTCTTCTGTATTTCTGAGTCTCTCAGCCCGTCGATGAATACCTGCACCGCCAGTTGTTCTTTGAAGTCCTCTGGTGCCTCTGGGTAGGCTAATTGAGTCAGTCTTCTCACATCTGCTTCGAACTCCTGTAGGCTCTCTCCAGACTTCTGCACACGATTTTTCATCTGAGCCCGGTAAAGCTGTTCTCGATTTTGGTCACCATACCTGAGTTCTAGCGCAGCCACTAAATCTCCGAAGTGGTTTTGTTGTTCCACTGGGATCGACTGTAACATCCCCAAAGCTGGTCCTCTCAGAGCTACAATGAGTGCAGTAGCTTTTTCCTCGTCACTCCACCCATTTGCACTTGCTGCAGCCTCAAATTGTCGGCGATACATAGACCAAGGCGACTGTCCATCAAAAGTTGGTGGTTTTACGGAAGAACCCGATGTGGCAACCCGGTCACGACGATCTTGACTTCGTAGCGAGGCGATCTGATTCGCTACATCTCTTTTGATTGTATCGAACATGGAATCTATTCTTGAAACTTCCTGGTTAAGCTTGTCGTCAATTTTGGTGAAATCTGTCTTCAACTCATCTATTTGCACATCAGTTTTATGCAGAATTTGTTCGAAGAAGATTTTCTGATGTTCTCGTTCTTTTTCTTGATGCTCTAGAATTTTCTGTAACTCTTCTTGACGACGTTGCTCTTCTTCTAATTTTTCTTCATGACGACGTTTCTCTTCTTCTAATTTTTCTTCATGACGACGTTTCTCTTCTTCTAATTTTTCTTCATGACGACGTTTCTCCTCCTCCTGTTTTTCTTTCTGTCGTCGTTCCTCTTGTTCCGCGAACTGATTTTGCATAAATTTCAAAATGTCTTCCATCGCGTCGTATGACGTACTCCTTGTATTCACCATACGTCTTCAAATGTCCTCGAAAAATCCACACTTCTGACACCACTGTTACGATTTTACTCTGGGTCCGTAATAACTTAACACTCGGTATAACACTTAAAACGATTTATTCTGAACACTACTATACAATAATTACAATACTCGTACTAAACACTTCCGATTCACAACACTTCTTCGATCGTTATTATAACGCTTCCAAATAAAGACTTCCCTTCCTGTCCCTAACAACATCTATTTATATTATCTAATAAAACGTCTAGATTCCACTCGAAATATCGTGAACAGGTCGATAATCTTCTCGAGTCATCTCAATAGCCGTCGAATCACCTAATTACTATTCCAAGAAATATGGCCTTGTTTACTTCCCGTTCCCGCAGGTAGCTGGGATCGATTGCCAGGGTCGTAACAATATTATCGTGTTGTATAAGAGGTGAAAGACATCAACCAAGATGGTGACTGAAACAAACTAGGATGAAGAAGGTAGTTGAAGTTACGGAGTGAGTTAAATATGTGTACCCAGCTTTCTGGATGTGATGGTATATTGAATAATAAGTATAGTAGTAGTAATAAACTAATGGCCGAAAATGTGTATTAATGGAGACATTTTTGATTAAATTAAAATAATTCTTCCGCATAACTTCTAAATGGTAGAAGCCACCTACATTTCTGCTATAGTTATCAAGGGTGTTTTTAGAGGGTGGTTCATGATTTTTTGAGGACAAGTTTTTTCCCTGTATTATTTTTGGTAAAAAAATAGGAGCATTCGATGAAGCGAAGGAAATTACATGAAAGAGGTACTCAATCAAAATACGAAGAATCCAACGTTTTCTGAGATATTTCAGTTTTTGTAGTCAGATGATATCAGGAAATTTCAATTTGGTGGCTTTCACCGTTTAGAAGAAAAAATATTTTGATTCAATCAACTTTGGAAGGATGTATCTCAATACACACTTTGGACCATTGGTTCATTCATAAAACTATACTTATCTTTCCTGTTTCTGTTATCCAGTTATACAATAACCATTCGAATTCCGATTTGAGGAATTTACCGCTGGTTGGAAACGTTATATTTTCTATTTTCCAATACATTTTTCAACTCAAGAAGGATGATATCCAGCATACCCTTGATGTGGAAACGGAATTCAAGTGATAATAATGTTTGTGGAGATCGCGTTCAATTATAGTCATATTGCAGTATTTTATTGATAAAAATGATTTATAGATTCCAGAAGATATTTACATCCTTTTCAACCCATGGTGTTCGGAAGATGGCGTTTACATGGAGAAGGAGGAAGAAAGACAAGAGTACATTATGAACGAAACTGGCAAAATTTGGTGTGGGACTTTCAAGAAACCAACAGGAAAGGTCTGGACGTTCGGCCAGTTCGATGAAATTTCTCTACCCACCGCCGTATATTTGCTCGAGAAGTCAGGACTTGTTGCAGCTCAGAGAGGAAACCCAATTATGGTTACCAGAGCTATATCTGCAATAGTAAGAACGTTGATCATAATTTATATAGTAGAAACATTATTTCATGTTGGTAAACCATCTACCACAGTTTGGTAAACTCAAGTCGTATAGTTGCTGAAATAGATCAAGAGGTTGAGATTTCCAAACTGGATTAATCGGAGGACATTGAAAATTGTTTAAACCTATCTCCAGGAGAGATTTATCATGATTTTGTTTGTTCTCCTTTTGTTGCATTGGATGAAGTTCAACTATTTTCTTGAAAATAAATGTCGAGTAGGTATATGCAGGGTGTTTGTGGTAGGTAATGTGTGGAATAATTCTGAACATATTGAACCATACAATATCATACAAACAGTGTTACACCTTTCGAGAAATCATCGCTTGTACAGTGACTCATTTTTTGAATTCAAATGAGCCAAAATATATTATCTCATATTCATATTCCATTACGTGTTCTATATCGATGATATACTCATTCGACTTCTCAAAAAAAAGATACCTACAATCAGAAAAAATGTTTGACAAAACTTTTATTATAACTTATACAGACCTATTCATTAAATTCGGTAACATTCGGGAAAACGATGATATCTCTAAATGCGTAACACTTTGTTTAATAGTGAATATGGTCAAATATTTTCTTGAACATCACCCCCGATATACGTTGGTGAACCAAAACCCTGTATATATAGCTACCAATGTATGCTTTATTTCTCTTGAATCGTAGTTTTCTTGAAAAGAGGTACTTGGGATGGAATGAAGTACTTATGTAATATACCTATGAAATATATTCCTGATAGTTTCACTCCAGAAAGAGTGTTATAGTATGATCTTATCGAATTGATGCTCACCAAGGAAGAAAGTGTAGAACTTTGATTACAGGCTTGTAGTATGAGATCTGCTTTTTTTTTTGGTCGAGATTGTATATAGAGAACCAAGGAGTAGAAGTCTTCATGATTTTTCATCAGGCTCTGTATCATTGGAAATTATAGACCAATATCAGTAATAAACAATTTGGCGAAAATTTTTGAACAGTCCCTGAAGATACTCACGAAAAGGCAGTTCGGCTTTATCAATAATTTCAATACGGAAAATGCTGTGCTAGATTTTGTTAAGAAAACTGTTGAAGCCTTGGATAGATCAGAAAAATGTTTAGCCATATTTCTCGATCCAGCCAAGGCATTGGACACTGTGGATCACGGTATGCTATTAGAAAAACTGCATGGCTATGGTATACGAGGACCAACATTTATGATATTGCAAGACTATCTATCACATAGGACACAGAGAGGGTGAAGATTAATAATAATTTCAGTGAAGCAATGGAGGTTAAAACAGGAGTACCACAAGGCACAGTTTTGGGACCTATATTGTTTCTTGTTTGTATCAACAGCATCCGCTTCATAAATAACGTGCCCTCTTGTAATCTCGCGCCCCTATAGGCACGTGCCTAGTTTGCCTTATGGATAATACGGCACTGGGGGGTGACTTGAGTGTTATTTTTCAAAAATCTCCTAATTTCGTGTGTGTTAATTACGTAGGTAACTTTCGAATGCCTTTAGTGGGGGATGGAGAGAACACAAGCAAATGAATTGCTTAGGTGCATTCATCTCTCCACAAAGGGTTGTAAAATGAACAATGTGATATGGAATGATTTTGTATAATATCACTGAGAATGAACTTGAAACTTGAATAAACTTGATTTATCAAGCACTAGCACAATATTCATCAGTCTAGCTTCTTGTTTTGCCTTTGGCGGGCCAAGCAGCCTTATATAGATTCTCAAGTGAACCCTTACTGATCATAATCTGTCCACATAAAGATGAGGGCCACCATCTAGATGTCCTTGTTTCAATCACCTTTTGGCCCCTTTGGCCAGAGGTTTTCAGATATCTGTCTGGTGACTGTCCTGCACCGATAAGGGCTAATGACCCAAAATCGGTCTGCATAGGTTAAGTAATGAAAAAACTGGCATTTAGGAAATCAGTAAACTGTATTTGTTCACATGCCAGAGAAGCAGTTTGTTGTTGTTCAGTATTTATCATTGTCGTTTGTGGAAAGTTTGTGGAAATTACTAAATTTCCTTTTTTTTATTCAGATCAATGCAGTAGATGATGGAGGTCTCCTGGAAGGCCGTTGGGATGGTGATTACTCGGATGGCACATCTCCTTTCGCATGGACTGGATCCCCAGCCATCCTGGAACAGTACCTGACCACCAACGGAACTCCAGTTAAGTATGGACAGTGCTGGGTCTATTCAGCTGCCACCGTTACTATTTGCAGAGCCTTGGGTATTCCCTGCAGATCTACGACGAACTACGTATCTGCGCACGATACCAACAGTTCTTTGACAGTGGACAAGTGAGTTAAACTATAATTCACATATAAAGGGTCCGATAACTCCGTTGGGTTAACATGATGGTTTAATACAAACTTGATAGTCTGTTGACTGAGTTGTTATGATTTTGAATCCTTAGTTAAGCATGAGATGGTACGCTTAAGCCGCGGGAGCCTGAACTTCACGAAGCATTCCCAAATCTCATCGTCTCATCAGTCACAAGAATACTCCGGGTCTGGAAAGGAAGAATGAAAAACTAAATTTGTACGCCAATGAACACAGTGGTCTGACGCCATGCCATCAGCGGATCACGGTACATCTGCCTGACCAAACTCGGCTTCCACACTTTCATTTTCGCAAAAAGAAACCCATCAGATAAACCGAATCTCAAAATATCACATGATGAGAATCCATTGTATAATGTAGGTTCTTATTTGCATCATAAGCCCAGTTGGCAATGATCTCGTTAATCAGTTGCGGACTACGATCAAGTTTTTCCAACAGTTACGAAATCATCTATTCAGTATACGTTCATGAAGAATCGTATGCATTTATTCATTTTCTGCTGAACAAACAAGTTTTGTAGAAATACCAGACGTAGATACCTACATTTTTAATTTCAAGTTACTGTACTTTCACATGATGATTGAATGAACAATGAATCAGTAATTGACTATATTTTTTTTTCAAATAGAATACCTCCCTAGTCACCACAGGGCCAACAATGAATTAGCAATAAATGAAATAAGTACTGTTTCGCGAATATTGGCGCGATATAAGTCGGTCAGCGGGTTATTATTTTCGTGATTTAGGGGAGGGGTATGGTTGTCAAACTTTTCAGTCATGATTTTATTTTTCGTCATATTCCAGAGAAATATCCAGTACCGAATGTGCTAAGATGTGTCTTCTACTTCAAGTAAATAGTGAACAATTATACAGCTCTTTGATAGTTGATTCAGATTTTATTTCATGTGATTTTTATCTTCCATGTGTGTTTTGACAACCATCGCCAGGTCGAGGTTGATTGTCACACAATGTATGAAGGTTGGTTGTCCCATGTATTCTATATGTGAAAGTGAGTACTTTTTTCCGGATATATAGGTGCACTGTTGATGGCTGTTTATCTTCCATTCCATTTCGCGGTTACGTAAATTACGAAACAACCACTGAGTTCGCCATTTTTCGATATCAAATCACAGAATCAGACTGAAAGATATTTATTTATTTCAAAAAAATGATAAAGATGCCTACAAAATGATGTCTGCAACGGCTCTGCAACGCAGGTTTACTTCCTGTTCAAAACTTCAACTTTCACGTCGATGATTTTCTGATTTCGATATAATGTAATATCTTCTCAATATTGATTCGTTCTTCTTCCTGCTACAGAAAGAAATAGTGCATTATACTAGGAACAAATATTAGATTTAAGCTCACGGATTTTTGTCTGACAACACAACCTCGTTTTTCCCTTGTATAATAAATAACTATTAATACATAAAATTGTTCTAAAAATTGTTCAAAAATTGTTCTATCCGTCATTCGGTTGCCCCCTTACGAGCAACCCTCAGAAGTCTTCGAAAGTCTTATGCGAGCAAGGAATGAAATGAATGAAATAGAAACACAAGATATGATGTGGTGAAGAATGCATTTAGTGGAATTATAACTCAAAAGTCATACTCAACTTATCAAATGAGTGATCTTAATCATCTTATCTACATGTGACAACCAAACCAATCTGTTTTGTGACAACCCACCTCATTTCGATTTTTCTGATCTTTTCACATTTTTGAATTATATACCTTCGTGTTTACCTCGAATTTGTCAACTAATTTGACGTAGAAATGTTTCAAATATAACTTCGATGAATATCCGATTCGGTTAAATGAGCAATTTTTCAAATTCTGACATATTAAAACAAATAACGACCATCTGGATAGGATATCAAAGGAAGACTCAAACTTCGTAGGTAATGTGAGTTTGCGGCTCACAATACAATAGCATTATGGGTTATTTTGCATACTACCTTTGAGTATTCACAACATAGTGTATATAATCAAGGTTACCACCTACATTTTCCGCGAATCGCCTTGAAACAACCATACTCGGTCTCCCCCAAAATTTTCCCAATGATAGTTGAATGGGGTGGCATTACTTGAAAAGTGGTAACACATGTATTGATTTTTTTCACTACTACCTAGAAAACATACCATTATTTACTCTTCTTCGAGGCGTAAAGTGTGTTCTTACTACCAAGGTAGATTTCGTCATTTTATGAACCACTGGTCAATAAAGACATATAGCCACCCACCTCTGTTGTATAATTAACCCGAATACACTGTTCTGATCAGAGATTCGCAGGAATGGAACTGAAATCCAGTAGGTATTTATCGATAACGACTTGTCATATGGTGTGGATAAGAATTGAGAATAAGTGCTTACATAGTGACAATAGGCCGATATTTCGGTTTCACAGAACTAAAATTATTGAAATATATTGTTAGTGGTGAGGAAAATTTAATATAAGCGTTGTATAAATAACAATTTCCACCACTACCTATAGAACCTATCATTATTTACTCCTTTTCAAGGCGTAAAATGTATATTTTTCTACCAAGGTAGTTTTCGTCATTTCATGAACTACAAGTCCATAAAGACCTAGCCACCTCTGTAATAAATCAACCCGAACTCATTGTTCTGATACGAGATTGAATTATAGAATTGAAAATACGTGCTTCCATAGTGAAAATAGGTCCATTTTTCAGATTTACAGAACTTTAATGATCGAAATATATTGCTAGTAGTGAAAATAATGGTAGTAAAGAATATTATCCACCACGGGACCTTTTATAACCCTCGGCCGAAGCCTCGGGATTATTATCTTGGTCCCTGGGTAATAATGATATTCTTTACAACCTTGGTGTTTCATGACTATTGCTGGGTTCTCAACTTTTCTTCACTAGATTTTTTTCTAGTGCTTAGTGAATTTTCTTTCGTGTTCCACATTCCAGATACTTCGACGTCTTCGGCGAACGCATCGAGAACGGTCCGGACGGCACGTGCAGCGACTCCTGCTGGAACTTCCACGTGTGGAATGACGTGTGGATGACAAGGCCGGACCTGCCCCCGGGCTACGGCGGCTGGCAGGTAGGGTTGAGAAAAATTCACTTTCAGTTATATGTAATTCAATTTCACTTGGAATTTTATTGGAATAGTTAAAAGTTAGTTAGTAAGTAAGTACCTTGTTGGTATGTATGTACAGCTTAACCATTCTAGCTTGGCCCCTGAGAATTGGATGCGCAGTAGACCAGTCGGAAAGTGGGAAGAGAACTCATTGTTGTCGAGGTACTCATTCAGTGAACAAAGGTTAGTACAGTACAGCACAATTGTACTTTCCAATGAAAGGGTGTAGTGGATCATTGTCGCACACTTACCCTCTCTGTTTATCGTTTGCGCATCTCAGGGGCCAAGCTAGAATGGTCGAGCGTACAGGGTTGTCCATGGAATAAGCCCACCTCTATATTTACCTTATTTTTTATCGGGGGTGAATACATATGAGATGATGTTTTCATCAAATAGGTACATGTTTAATTGTATGAGAGTTTTATCGTCATGGCAAACAAACGAGAGTCGTTTCTTTGTACTTCCCTTGATTCGTGATTTTTTGCCAAATGATAAAAAAATTTAATACAATTTGAAATCTTTTCATCAGTTAAAACATTTCTCGAATGTATTTTAGGGAGCTGGAAAGCTAGGGAGGGGGAAGGCACCATGAAAAATCTAAAGAGAAAAATCAAATAGGAAAAGTTTTATAAGAAGAATTCATAAAACGGAAAAAATCTATACAGAAAATCAAGTGAAAAATAATCTTGTAGGGTTATTTGCGAATACGTTGGTAACTTTATTGACGAAACCGTTAAAGTTTTTGGAAATTGTTGCCTGTGTAAACTCATCCTTGCGAGGCCATTGAGTCGAGCTTCAGACATGGTGCTCCTCAACCAGGTTAAATGAACTTTCAACTGTACATGTCTCACAAGCTAAAGCAACAACAAGGATCTTCGAAGCCTTCTTAATTTCAAGAGAAAATCTACTTTCGGAAGTTCTTAGCTCAAATTGAGCGTTATCATAAGTAATATCACGATGTTCAGAATATTCGAGATAATTCTGTCGCTCCATTGTTCCTGACGGACTCGTGGTGTTGCTCGGCAAAACGTTTGAGTTAACAATGGTAGACAGAATTATGAAAAGATATTCAGAACAGAGTGGTATTTTGATAGACTATTTCACGTTCACCAAACATAAGAATCATTAATTATATATGAGTGATTCATTCTGACAAGTACAGCCATAATTATTTTATGCCAAACTGGACACAATTTGCTTCGTTATCCATGGTTACATCGTTGAAAACATCAACGCTGATAGACATCTATAGGGTGGGGGGGGGGGAGCTGCCTTACCCTGCCCCTCTCTGGCAACCCCTTTGTCAACTACAATATGAAGACGATTTGGTTTGAGGAATAAATTGATTGACGTTGTGTTACTGGTTTCAAGTTGTTAATCTATCGGTTCTTGTAGGATCTGAATTATCGTTCATATGAAAATCAAAAAATCCCATATGCTTCAGAAAACTTATTATCTCTCTTGGCAAAAAGATATTAACGTGAAGCGAGAACTATTGTGTGAGGAAAGGATCACATTACAATCCTAAACCTAATGAAGCTGAGTTCAAAAACTCACTTTTTCAACAGGGCGTTAAAATATAGGGTTGAAAGAGTAACAATTGTTTTTTCTGTATGATGATCAAGGCATCAGTTTTTTTAGGAACTCAAATATGGGCTAATATTTCGAAATATCATTCCAAGATCTGGTCGAAATTTTATCAAAATCGAACATGGAATGGCGAAGACTCAATAACATTGACCCCTGGTTTATAATGTAGGTACCGAGGTAGGTAAACCTCCTGTACCTGTCTCCACTGTTGCTACTTTGGGCCTCTGTACAAAAATATTGTGTGCAGAGCAGGTGGACAAAGCCACCACATAAACAATCTGGCGCCCGAGACCCCCCGACAAGTACCAGAGTAGTCTCTGTCCAAACAAGCGTCAAAGTAAGGGCCACAGAGATAAAGGCAGTTACAACTGAGGGATGAAATTCGTCAAAACTTCTTTCAATCGAAGAATCATGATTCACATTTGATGTACAATCAATATAATAATTTGAAGTTGAAGGAAATCGAATCTCATGACGTTTTGGTATCAGCATATTTCATTCGATATTTCAAAAAGCCGCAGATATGCAGGTGAATTAGTGACGTATTAGTGCCGAACTGTAGCTATCTCTCTCTCATACCTTGACATTCCTCAGTGTGATTGGTCAGCGTGCAGGGACTTATACCAATGAATTGACACATTTCAAATGGCGTAGGAAGTAGGTATATGTTAATTTTCATTCCAAATTATATTTACTGGTAGTTTTTTTCATAGAGATCACTATAATGTTTCAAAAAAATCAGTGGTCCCCACCATTGAAAAATGTACATGCACATTTTTCTGACCAGTTTATTTTTGCGTGTGAGTGTAGCTATTTCCATTTTGAAACTTTCAAATGTGATTTCAAATTTCGTTTGGCAGGTCATCGACGGCACCCCGCAGGAGACGAGCGACCAGGTGATGCGGTGCGGACCCGCCTCCGTGGCGGCGGTCAGAAAGGGGGAAGTGGGGTACCTGTACGACACGCCGTTCGTGTTCTCCGAGGTCAACGCGGACATTGTGCACTTCCAGGAGGACGAGGAGTCCGAGTGGGGGTTCAGCAGGACGTCCATCAATCAGTACCAGTAAGTTCATTTATTTATTCATTGTAATCTACAGTATAAAAAATACCAATAAATGATTACATTCAATGCGAATTGGCTAAATACAAATAAGTTGGGGAATATAATGGGCGAGTGGAATATGGTATTGAATAATTGGCATTCAATTTCTATACTGCATCATTAGGGACCATTACAAGATATATATTGACAAGCTGGTTGCCTGAAAAAGTCACAAATCAATAACTATTATATCATGGCTTCCCCCTATAAGGTCAAATGAAATCAAATATTTGGATGTAGTTTTATTCAACGATAGGGCTCTTGATCTGACAAACTTGCTTCATGAGTGGGAATGGAATATTATCAGACCAGTAATGAAACAGCATGAGAAATGACGCCATAGTGATCGAAACCACGTAAGAAGGGCTGCAAAAATTAGTTCAGGTCCGTATCGACACTGTGGAGTAACTGATTGCCAGTTATTCAATACCAGTCCACTAGCCCATTGTGATCATTCTTTGATTGAAAACCACAGTCCTGAAAATTGAATAAGCGTCCCCGCGAGAATGTTTTCGAATGTGAATTGTTCGGTAACGAATTGCAAAAATTCTATGAATGATGGTTACCATTTATTTGGATAGCCCAAAGACGAGAAGACATTTCAAGTGTTTGTTTGAGCTTCAAAACCCAATATTCATTTCATGGAAGTAAATTCAATGATATAATACTGATGTTACTACATCAGCACTATGTGCCTTTGGTGTTACGCCACTGTTGGGGTTGTAAATAATAACATATTCACACTCGTCTCATTTTTTTGTTGGGTTGTTTAACATGACAAGTGTGTCCTCACTCTTTGAAGGACGTTGAATGAGATGTTAGAGGCATTCTAACCGTACCCTATGGTTTTTAGGGCACTGAATCTAGACCTGGAGTTTTCCAACAAAATTTCATCTTACTGTTTGAGATATTCGCAAAAAAACAATGAAATTTTCGCTTTCTCCGTCCCGCAAAATCCCATCACTACGCAAAATAACGCGTTTTCTAACTGGTTAGGTCTCACCGATTGCAGGTTTTTGGTTTTATATTGGTTTTGTATTGCAAAGATATAGCCTCATAATATACAAGTGAAAAATATTTCCAATTCCAAAAAAATATACTGTATTTGTCTAAATCAAATCTATTTTTTATTTTTATGAAGTGACAGAACGTTTTTAGTAATTTTTCAACTTTCATGGATCTTTCAAAGAAACAAGCCTTTTTCCATATCTTGCTGAATTTTATCTGATTGAGATTCATATAGGCCTGAAAACTTTCGGTTGAACCAAATGCTCCATCAGAGAAATCTACTCAAACAAGGAATGGAGTTGAGTTCCATTAGCTTCATTGAATAGAACAACACTTTTCATTTCAATGCTTCAAAATATCCAAATGAAAGTCTGCACGAAGAGGAACAATATTCAGTTGGAAACTTGTTATATTGTATGTATATATATATGTACGTGTGTGGGCGGTCCGGGACCTGATTCATTTAGGCCTCCCCTTTCGGACCCATTGTGCACCCACATTCGTGGGATCGCAAGTCAGCCATGGAGAAGGCTGATCTTGCGAGTAAAAGAGACCAACTTTCTAGGCCAAATCTTTTTAACATCCTCTGGGTCCAGAATACTGCCCCCAAAATGGATATCTCTTGCTGCCACTACTGCCGGGCATTCAGTGAAGATGTGAGTAGAAGTCTCCTCATCCTTTAAGCACCATCTGCATTCAGGATTCTCCAGAATCCCGATCGTGCTGGGATGCTTGTTCAAGTGGCATTGCCCTGTCAGAAGGCCCACGACCAGTTTCAGCTCCTTCCTGTTCAAAGCCAAGAGGGCATTGGTCTGTCTTCGTGACGGCGGGTTTCCTATATGGAGTTTGGACTGCCTCATTCCAGGAGTCCCTCTCCAGCTGTCCTGAAATCTTTTCGTCAGAATTTCCTTCATCCTGGAGTTGCACCAGGATCGAGTGACCCCCAAGAATCCCAAGATTGGCTCTGGACCAATCACTGAACCCTTCGCCCCCTTTCTGGCCAGACAATCGGCCATTTCGTTACCTGATACCCCTGAGTGCCCATCAGGGACCCACAAAAGACATACCTACTTTGTTCGTTGCTGACAGCCTTTGTAGGCTATATATGTACTCTGATACCAAGGCCACCCTACACGAGGTGAGCGCCTTGTTATATTTTGCGCAAGTGGACTGGCTTGAGTAAGTTTTGTCAGAACGCATTAGGAATACTATATGCCGTAAATTATTTTTTTTACATCTGTACAACAATAATAACAATATCTTACTTGCGAAAACTTCAAAATGAATCGAGGAACCACTGATTTGAAATGTTAGAATGTCTGTTACTTATCGCGTATAATTCCCAAAATTTGATAAGGCAATATGATTTCAGTGTGGGAAGGAAGATCTTGACTAAGAAACTGGGACTAACCGACGATAATAGTGACACCGACATGGAAGACATCACCAGGCTGTTCAAAAACAAAGAAGGGACCGACGCCGAACGCCTAGCCGTATACAATGCCGTCAGAGGTGTACCAAGAGCTCAAGAGGTTTATGACATGCCTGACAGAGGGAACGAAGATGTAACTTTCGACCTCGTTGATATCGAAACAATCCCCTTTGGTGATACATTTTTAGTAGAGGTGGCAGTTGAAAACAAATCAGAAGAAGAAAGAACCATCAAAGCTGTCTTGTCAGCTAGCTCCGTGTATTATACAGGAACTACTGCCAATGATTTGCAGAAGTCCAAAGGTACGGAACTCTCAAAATCTTTGCATTTTATATTCATAGAGTGTGTGAATATGTTATATATTTTACGACTTCTAAAAGCTCAGTAGAATCTTTGAGATAAAATTAGCTCAGCCTTACCTTCGTAAGTAAGTTTTGCTCCACTGCGTTTTAGCGTTAGTCTTCTATTCAATCAACAATGATTATTGTATAAGGAAATTAACGAATCCTCATCAGGTACCATCAAGATCAAGCCTGGGAAGAAAGAAACCTTGAAGCTGGAAATCACTGCAGCTGAGTATGTTGGGAAATTGGTGGATCACAGCTTCATTAAGCTGTATGCAATTGCAAATGTGGAGGAAACCAAACAGGTGTGGAGTGAGGAAGACGATTTCACCTTTGTCATGCCTGAAGTTACCATTACTGCAGCAGGCACGTGCAAGATTGGAGAACCATGTGAAGCATCATTCAGGTAACCAAACTACTGGAATCGTATCATATTTTCCAAGATTGTCAAACATGGTCCGAATCCTCTGATGATGTGTTGGTATTCAAAAGCAAGCTAGGGTAACGGATATTTTCGTAGATGGAAAATGAGTTAGTATTTTTAGAACAAAAAGCAATAAAAGTCCCCAAGTCTATAAACAATACTAAATTGTGAGTTACTGTCGTTTATAGGCAACAGCCTTTCATTTACTGTGAGACAAAGGACGAAGAATATATACAGGTTTTATCAAGTAATTCATTTGCTAGAAGTTTTCGATATTTCCATTCGAATAAAATTATGAATATTTTTATTATATAAATCATCACAAACTTATTCAAAATTTCAGGTATTGAATTTATCTATATACATCTATCTTGATGATATGTGAAGTGAGATTGGGCATTCCATCTTATACAGTATGATCAAAAATATCTTGTCATTTGGAGTTTTTTGAGAGGCTGAAAGTGATTTTATCTGAAAATAGATACCTTGATCATCGCACGCCCTGACAACACAAGTAAATCCTAGGGAGTTCCCAGGGACGTCCCTAATTTTATACTAGGACATCCCAGCGATATCCTTCGTCGAGACAAAGTACATACTATGGACGTCCCAGAGACATCCACTTTCCGACAAAAAGCACATCCAAGGGACGTCCCTGGGATGTACCAAGTACGAAGAAAGGATATCCCTAGGATGTCCCAAGGATATTCCAGGGACATCCCTTCGACAAAAGCAAAAAAATGTAGGTCGATTAGGGTTTGAACCCGAGACCTTTAGCTTATCAGGCACGCACCTTATTCCATTGGCTAATATGCCTTCTGAAGATTCATGTACTAAACAGATATATAAAAAGTACAAAACTGAAACCTGAATAAATACAACTTTGTTAGGATTTCATGTATGATTACTATCATTCTTGGGTGCTTAAAAATTAGAGGCATCATGCATTTACGATTTCAGATATTCCAGGGACACGAATAGGATAACCTAGGGATGAATCGGTCGGGATGTCCACTGGACAACCACTGCGGGACATCCCCTGGCTGGATGCTCCGATCATGTCCTTGTACCGCGGGACAAAAAAGGAACGTACCTAGGACATTCCTGTGTTGTTAGGGCGATTGAATACTCGATTATTCATTGCGTGTATCTGTTATATTTTGTAATAAACAACTAGCTATGAACAGAAACTTTTCGTCGAATCAAATTGAAAATCCGATATGCCGGAAATTTTCCGATACATACACAAATAAAAGTAATATATCATCAATCTTCGATTAGTTCGTCTTCTTTCAGTTGGTAGAGACATCTAACTCAGATTTCCATATAGGTCATCATCAGTGTCCTATGAGTTTAATTAACTCTGATGAGATTAGGCTAATGGATTATAGCGAAATAATCTGCTAATTTCACCAGATAGTAATGATAGTATATTATATTAGATATTCCTCTATCCTAGATGAATTATGATCATTTCGATTTTCACTTCCCTCCCGCATATCCGTACCCAGGCACAAAAAAATAATTTTCATACGCTGTGTCAACTTTACTGGAGCCATGAATAACCAACGCACCATATTTTGCTTTCAAAAAGTATTTCATTAGCTACCTCAAACAAGGACATCACCTCCCTACTTGATACTTGTTATTTTGTAATATGAGCAATTTGCCTCCTTGCCAAGTTATTATTATTATTATTATTATTATTATTATTCCAGCTTCCGTAATCCTCTGGAATTCGCCCTGACCGACTGTTCTTACACCTTGGAAGGACCAGGATCACAGAAACCTAAGAATATAAAATTCAGAGACGTGAAGCCGAAAGAATTGATCAGTTTGTCGCAGACTTTCACTGGAAAAGCCAGCGGTGTTAGAAAAATAGTCTTCAACTTCACTTCAAAGCAGGCTCACAATATCCATGGAAGCATGACAGTGAAGATAGAGGAATGAAAACACATATATCAAGATGCAATCTTTGATTATTCTCACACATATATATTATCTCAGTTATTTATCACATATAGGTGACGGCGAAGGTAATAATCAAATTATTATATTATTTATTATATGAAAAATCTATGAATTTGAAAATGTTTGTTGAATTGATTTGATAATATATTATACTTACATATCAGATACTGTGTTTACATTGAACGACGTATAACAAATTAGAGAGCAAACCTTCAAAAATCAACTGAAGCAGCTGCAGACGCATGCGTTTCAGTGTTATAAAATTTTACATCATCAGTAAAGTTTACATCATTTGGAAGACCCTCCATTCGAGAGGGTCAACCAGAATCATCACTGAAAAAGTCACCTGCTGTGACATTTCGGTGATGAATGTATATTTTGAGAAATTTCTTATGAGTAGACCTTTCCACTTGTGATTCAATAGTGAATGATTCAATTGAATAGTTCAATTACTTATTCCTCGAGAGCCAGAACTTCTTTTGTAGAGGGACAGAGAGAGTGTTAAAAGTTGATACACTCCTCTTGTAAGGGCACCTGTCGTGTTTCCAATGCAGAAAAGTCGACCATCGATCCCTTCAAGCTGAGTACTTAAGGTTGAGTTTCGATTCGATTTCGTGAACAAGCAAATGCATATACAGGGTGTTTCATGAGGAGACTCACATAGCCAAATGGTTAATAGGGGAAATCAAGACGAGTTGATGTACATATATGAAAACATTTTTTGACCCTCCATAACGAAGATACAGGGTATTATGTGAAATTGCTATATAACTTTGATGGTCGATATTACAGAAATGATTCGTCGTAATCTGCTGAAATTTGGCAGCAACGTACCTCTACTGAATCTATTCAAGATAACATATTATAAAAAAAATATCCAGGTCCGGACTTGGTAAAATTTTATATTTTATTGTTATGTCAAAAAAGTTCACTTTGTGACCACTTTTCTCAAAAAATTCCATCAGATTCAGAAATATCAGACAAAATGCTATTAGAACTGCTCTCCAATTTACACGGCACACTTTGACCGGTTCACCAAAAAAATATGGAACAAAAACGTTTGAATGAATTTTCAATTTCGACCTGGCTGATAACTCTCAACTTTCAACTGGATTCGTGTAAATTGATTTTTCGTACATTTTGATTGTATAGAAATTGACAGAAGAGATTATTACTGATTCTTTAATGATTTGACATGTTAGTTTTTGATCGAACTTCTAGATAGATATGATTACTCGTGACTCTATTTTATAAATTTATTATAAAGTGGGCCCAGTTTTTATTTTATGTAACATGACGTTTGTTGATAGGTAAACACTGGTAATCGAAATATTCTCACACTCTAGGTGCCACTTCATATTCCAAATGCTGAACAAGACGAAAATGTTTAATACCATAGAATGTTCCCAGACCCAAGAATATACGTTGCAGTAAAACCTTCACGATGATGAACATTAGGAATTTTGAATAAATAGCAAATGCATATCCTTATGTCACTTGCAGAAGTGTATCAATAACAAAAAATGGAGCTAAGTTTATGCGTGATGGCATAACTAATTTGATAAATCACCATAATATGGGCACATGAATCATCATGTCGTAATTTCATCAGATGGTACCTACCTAGTACTAGCCTAGTACCTACCTATCAGTTCGGATTATCAACAAACGTCACGTCTCATCACACAAATGAGAAACCGGAACTACTCGATATCTCACTTCAAGCGACACCCATAAAACAAAGTCAGGAATAATATCTATCTGGAATTCCGATAAAAAAATATCGTGTTTTTCTTCTCGTCTATTCTTTTGTCAATTAGGTACTATCCAACAAAAATGTAGGAAAAATCAATTCACATGATACCAGTTGAAAGTTGACAGTTATCAGCCAGGTCGAAATTTAAAATTTATTCGAACGATTTTGTTCCATATTATCTTATTGAACCTGACAAAGTGTGCCGTGTTAATTGAAGAGCAGTTCTCATAGAATTTTATCTGATCTTTCTGAATCTGATAAAATTTTTCGAGGAAAGTGGTCACAAAGTGAACTTTTTTGACATAACAATAAAATATAAAATTTTACCAAGTCCGGACCTGGATATTTTTTTTATAATATGTTATCTTGAATAGTTTCAGTAGAGGTACGTTGCTGCCAAATTTCAGCAGATTACGACGAATCATTTCTGTAATATCGACCATCAAAGTTATATAGCAATTTCACATAATACCCTGTATCTTCGTTATGGAGGGTCAAAAAATGTTTTCATATATGTACATCAACTCGTCTTGATTTCCCCTATAAACCATTCGGCTATGTGAGTCTGCTCATGAAACACCCTGTATATACAGTATAACATAACGTGGTTCGCAATTTCACGAAAAATTGTCCTCAAATTGAGATACTTTATGATGATGCCTTAAACAAAACCAGAGTACCTCCTTGATAAAGAAATACGTTGATGCACATAATCAATCATCTGAACAATTGTCATATTGTTGTTATTGATGATTCCATATTTGGTGTATTGTTTCAACAAATTTGATCACAATTGGTATCACTATTAATTGAGGACAAGCAATGGTTTCTACCTCTAGAAGATATGTTTCTGAACAAGTAAAAGATATTGTGTGATCAGTGTTCGTAACACAAAATAGTATATTAGTATGACATAAGAGGTTGTCTCACCAGCGAAGCGTATTTAAGGGATTGCTTTTTTTTCTGTATTGAAGATAAGGGGGTGGCAAGTTTCAGTTAGGACATGCGTTTGGTTTCGAGTTGGCGTGTCTTGAATTGACATAAAAAAATGCCTATTTTGAGAATATGATGACACTGCATTAACAGACTTCCATTTCCACGATAAAAGATATGATCATTAATTATCATTTTAAGGAAAATCATTCATTAGCAGGCACTGTTTACATGTTTTACGACGGTGAATAATGATTCACTCCTCCGCCAATGAATATTGAAATATTACGTAGGACTTCAATCGCTGTAGAAAACGAAGGTTGTTATTAAACATCAGTCGCTGGATCTGATGAATTGAAGTTCCGATGGTCCAGCACACTTGATGTGTGCCAGCAATATAATTCTGGTCAAGTTCAAAGAAAGTGAAATCCGCATGGCACGGAATGTTTGAATGGGAATTATAAGTTGTGAATGAGATAATTGCTGGTATTGAATATTGAATTTATTCACCTGATATTTACTTTATTGGCATAGTTCTTGAAATTGGTTGTTATCATGGGGAAATTCAGATTTCCCATGTGTTGTACTAGAGGGGGTTCCTGTTTCCGCGCCAAATGGTTCCCAAATGGGGATTATCCATTGCAACCAATGCCTAAACCAGAATGTGCAGGTGAGTAGGTTCTATTTTTTCTTCAAGAAATTATGTTGAGGTTGTCACTGAAAGTAACACTTTGATCCACTCCACCTAAAAGCGAGATACCCTCTTGAAATTTTTTTAGTTATCGTCAGATTTTATCAAAATATTTTTTCGAATTTCTCCTCATATAATCACCGAAGCTTTTTGCGCACTTAGTAATGTTTTGGAGTGGAAATTGAAGATTGGAAAATCGTTTAAGTGCTTTCTTCACAGAATTCCAAATGTGTGCTCCAAACAACTAATTGTAGAGAATATGTTGCGGTTCCACATGGTTTGCTTGCGTTTTTTTTTTCACCGCATACAGTCGGGCAAACAAACTAAAATACAAACAAGAAATCATCAGATAGTTTCAGATGAAATTTTATGTTAAATAAGGCCCATCAAAATCAATCAAACATAAATATTGTTGTACGTTAATCAAGGACGCGTGCATTGTTGAAACGATTTTTATATAGAATTTTCACTCACAAAAATTCATGCAATGGGCATTATTTCTCATGAAGAATGTTTTACTCTACCCAAACTACAGTTTTTCACGTTCTATCTAGTTGTGACTTGCCAGAAAAAATTAAATGTGATAATTTTGAAAACTCGTATTTTCTCACTGAATTTTTGATACCTACCTTGGAACACAGAATTAGTAAAGTATATTAGAATTAAAAGAATAGTTTCCAAGAAAATCTTGGGATTTGGTCATCTTAATGACATAATTATATACACCTTATCGGCCTGTTGATTTTGCACATTAAACCGATGCTGATGACAGGATCAGAGGAGACACAATGCTGATGAGTTTTCAAAAAAATTAGCAACCAATTTGTAACAGATTCTATAGCCTCTCTATAGCCTGTGTATGTTGGCGTCAAACCAAATGAATTTCCTAAATATTGTATTGAATTTCAGAATAAAAATAAACCTATTACCAAAACACCGCCATTATCACGCATAAATATATATTCAATATCTTAGTTTATTACTTCTCTAAAAATATAATCATTTTAAGCAGATGAAAATTATTGGGTCAGTATATCGGAATTGAAATTCGATTTCGATAGTGAATTCCTGTTGAAAACAGTGTGTTCAAGGATTGGCTATACAGAGTGGAATTTCAATAAGTGCAAATATTCCAAACCTTGACAAAGCTCGACGTATAAATATAGGGATTAAGATAAAATTCAGGGCGAGGCCCCTTTTTCCACCCAAAAGTTCCACACTGTAGCAATTATGACGTCACCTCTGTTCAAATTTTCGTGCGTATAATGGCAAAATAATTGTTTCAACTGGTATCCTTAATTTTTTTCCTATTTTTGTTCATTTTTCGGGATGAAATTGTATATACAATTTTTTCACCACTGGCAATATATTTCAATCATTATAGTTCTGTGAAATCTATGTCACTATGGAAGCACTTCTTTTCAATTCTAATCGAAATCTAGTCACCATGGCAGCATAATTATGATAAGTCGTTATTGATGAATTACTATACTAGACTCGAGTGCTATTCCTGTGAATATCGCATCAGAACGGTGAATTCCGGTTAATTATAACAGAGATGGCTGTCTGTATTGACTAGGGGTTGATAAAATTACAAAAACGACCTTGGTAGTAAAAACATACTTTACGCCTCGTTTCATTCATTTTGTCACATGTAAAAACTTCACAAACGATAAGATTTCCACAAAATTTATTTATTATCGTTTGCGAAGTTTTTACATTTATCATCGATTTCCATCAAGTAACGGCCGAGTCAATTCAACATTTTGTCACAGTTATAGTGTCCTCACATCATCCTAAAAGATTTCCAGAAATATAATTTATTTATATGAACCTATCAACAGTTGGTTGATACACCAGATACTCCAATATGAATCAGTATTCAGAGATCAAGATGAGATAAAGAGATTTGAAAAAATACATTATACGCTCAATTTTCAAGACGAGTCGTCTTTGTAAGTCTGTAGAATGGTTAAAAACTAAATGTCAATTTCAGATATATTTTCATTCACTTGAAATGATGAGAGTTCACACTTGATTTTACTATCATCGAAATATTTATTCAGATGCTCTGAAGTTATCAGGATTTTGGTTATAAAACATGCGATGGAAAAGTTTCGTTCAACATAAATAATATCAACTATAATAGTTTCATCAAATCAAGTTGACACTCATTGAAGTATCAATATAAAAATAAATATTCGTGCATAAATTTCATGAATATCCAATATAATTTCAGAGTTCGAATCCATACAGATTTTCACGATTTTAAAATAGTTTTTCTATACGATTAGTGATAATTCAGGAACAAACAAAAGAACAATACTAACTCAAATAACATCCGATATGAATAACAAGAATAATTACTTATGGGAACACTCCCAGGTGTACCTTTATAGCATGCAAACAAAATATCTGTGGTGTTCTTACCTGCATTTCATATACAGTGTGTCCCAATCCCATCTAAAACTTGTCACCTCAATTATCTCTGAAGTCGTTGAAAAAATTGAAAATCGCTCGGGCAAGGATTTTAATTTGTCGGGGAACACTTTTTTCTGTAACTATCATATCCTATAGTTGAAACCTTGAATCGGAATATGCATCAACTTTCGATTCTCAAATAGAACACCCTGTATTCAATTGCAATTAGCGGAAATTATTAAAATTAAGATTTGTGAACTTCAGGATTTTTTTGTGTCGAAAGTATTCATTATGTCCTTATCTCAATTTTTGATTTACTATCTATTTATTTTTATTGAATGTCAGTGGATGATAATCAAAAGTTAAAGCCGTGTTGACCAATAATGAATAGTTTCGACACAAAAAATTACTAAAATTGAAAAATCTCGATTTTGAACACCCTATATCTCTGTAATCATTTCCGCTAGACCTCAAGTATGATACATAATAATTGATGATGGAATCAGCTCTTCAGGAAGAATCTAAAGATACAATGAAATACAGGGTGTTCCATTTGAAAATCGAACGTTGATGCTCCTTCCGCTTCAAGGTTTCAACGATTCAGAAACGTGCATACTCTGTCCACAAAAATAATCAAGTAAACCCGTTTTGAAATTTTCTAAAGAAATCAATCTTCATCATCGGTTCAATACCTTGGTATAGGTACCAACCGCACATCAGTAATAACTATACAGGGTGTTTCGAAATCTAATCGACAAGGCTTCACATGAGATTTCCTCATCACTGAGGTAGGGACATGCATGTGGTTTTGTTCTAGAGATAAATAATAAAAATAATTTTTGCAATTACTCGAAGATGAAGAATGGTTAAATATTTGGCGTCCAAATTCGGTATAGGGATTTATCTTTTATCATATTGTTTCACCTGAAAGGCATTCCGGGAAATTTATTCAGTTGTGTAGAAATTATGGGAGGAAGAGTTACGCCTCCTTCAGCGTTTACTTGGTTTTCTGTTTCGGGCCAGGAGCTATCTCACTTCCAGTCAGCTGCTTATGATCTATAAGGCACAGATCCGACCTGTCCTGGAATACTGTTCTCATATTTGGAGTGCAGCACCCAAACATACCCTGAAACTGTTGGATTCTGTCCAAAAAAGAACAATTCGTTTCGTGGGTGATGCCACAAACTCACTCACTTCTCTGGAACACCGTAGAAAAGTTGGCGATCTGGCTCTATTTAATAGATATTTTCATGGACGATGCTCTCCTGAAATATCAACAATTGTTCTTCCCTTCGTGGTCACTTTGAAGACCTATAGAACATCTCTTTCCAAATACTCGTTCATGCAACGAACAGCGAGGCTCTGGAACACATTGCCAGGGGAGGTGTTCCCCGAGGCATATAACCTCCAGAATTTCAAGAAGAACACCAATTCCTATCTTATTTCCCTTGGTTTTCACAATGTTTGCTGAACATTACAGGATACCCCTTTTCGTGGGAACCAGAACTTAAAAAAAAGATTTCATGAATGAATTTCTGATCAAAAAATTACCCATTCAAAGTTTGAGGGTTAAGGTTCAAACCATACATACCAAATTTTAATGCTTATTATTCAATGATCCTTGAGTTATTGCAAACAAACTATTTTTATTTCTCAACTTCAACACCCTGTATTTCGAGAACTGAACACTTGAAGACCTTATGTTTCTATCTCAGTTATTATGGAATCCCGATAGCTATCATACCTGTCATGCGTTGTCAGTCGAATTTCGAAACACCCTGTTCTTACATATAGAGGAAAAATAAATAGAAGTGTTGCGAACTTCTGTCTAAAAAAGGAGGGAGATTAAAAGGATTTATATACATGAAATAATTGAATAGAATGAGAAACTGTAAACAAGATTCAAGAAGAAATATCAGAAAATCACTTGAACATATCTCCAGGTAAATACCAAAAATTCACTAAATTTTAATACACATATTGAAAAATCTCAACCAATCATACATTACACAGTAATTCAAAGAATTTCTGGAAACGTCGAGGATTTGCAAGGAATATACACATAAATTCCTGAAAATTTTATATAATCACAAGAAACGAGAATTCTCGATTGATAAGGCATTAATTGAAATCATAGCACACTTCTACCAAAACCATTCATACATTTATTCCTTGCCCCATCGCATAGGAGTATTCCTAATAAATCTATTATAAAAATGAGCATGAGTAATGTTCTATAGTAAATTCACTTTTGAGCGACTTGTGGTGTTTGTGTAGGATGAAAATCAGCTTTGCATTAATAATTTCCTGGTACGTTGCAACAAATAATCACTTATCCCAGTTTATTTTGAATTTGAATAAGTGCATTTTATGGCGTCTTCAAGGTGAACTTCTGCGGAAAAATGACTATTCAAGTATTGATCATTGTTATTTGTCAATGACTATTTCGAACGCAACGGGTGTCACACTATATTATAATATAGGACAAAGAAATGAAAAAAACAATGAATGAATCCATTTTGCATTTGTCACTGAATGTTTTCTACACAGTAGGAGAC